GTTGATAACTCGTAAGGGGTGTTTGGTTCAAGTTATATAAGATAATTAATGTTATATTTGCTTGGAAATATAATTAAGATTCTCAATATGTTTGGTTTAGGTTATGTTATTTTTTCAGATAATGTCACATAACTTCCACATTAAGTTTTTAGCTATCGGAAGGAAATGTGAGATACCCTTCAATTTCTTAGGTAATCTCGCATTCTCTTATCTTTACATACCTTAGTTTTAAATCAGAAATCTAACATTCTCAATAATTTAACATTCCGTGAACCAAACGTCTCGTAGAGTTTATTTCCTTCGCTCATTGGTTGTGGAATCTTTTATAGCAAGTGATAGAGAATGTAGTATTCATGCATGACCAAACATTTATGGATATTCGTGGTAGATTAATGGCTATTTACAGTAAGATAATAGCTATTTGTGGTCAAGTGATATTGGTCTTTCTTTTTTAGGTAACGAATCACTAACTCACTACATGAGCGAGTGCACCACACAGGAGAGGTAACCACACTAGGAAGACCCTGTGTGAGGGGCTTGACTGAGATGGTGTTAGCAAGTTCATGACTATTAGGAACGAAAATCATGTTTCATCCACTTAACCTCCCATTTCGGGGTAGTGACATCAATATTTAACTTTGGGTTAGGATGTCAAAGGTTTAACTCCTTAATTGTATTTTTTGTAAATGGCTATTTATTACGGCGGTAAGATAATGGCGACTTGTGAGTTTTCATAGTATAATAATGTGAGGAATTTATGCTAAATAATTGTGGTATATATATAAGTATGGAATAATGCTTAGGGTTAATTGGATCGATACTAGTGATTTTCTTACAGCTAATTTGACTATGTCGAGTGTGACTCATGATATGAGTTATCTATTTATCTTGCAATTGGGTGTAATATTATCATTATTCTTTTGATAATGAAAAAAAAAGTTAAATTTCAAGTTAGTTTATTTAAACAAATTTTTGTTGTTCTATCAATATTGAACATGATTTCACAAAATTTGTCAATATTGGAACATAATTGCATGAGAGTGGAAGTTCATAACATTAATCGCTATATTTTTAAAAAATCAAAACATTAATTGCGCTTTTTAAAATTTAAATTATATAATTTAATTAGTTTCGCCAAAATAAAATCACACATTATTTAGCCTTTTATCACTAATACTAGTCTTTTCTATGCGACTATGCACAATGCACAAAAATATATGCCCAGTATTTATATTTTTAAAAATAACTAATAAATCATTACTAATTAAAACCAAATTTATGTATTATATTAATCCAATATATAATGTCTACAAATATTATTATTATTAAATAATATAAGAAAATATATGGTGGATGCATATACATGGTAACAATAATGAAAAAGATAACGAAAGTTATAATGGTATGGTTGTTTTTGTTCAAAAAATTATATAGTACAACTCTAAAAGTATAATGTACAAATTAAAATGATTAGCACTAAAAATATGGACATAAATTAGGGATATAACTTTGATTAAGAATTATTATGTTTTTTAGATTAGAAATAAAATATCACTAAAATAATTTACCAGAAATGTAGTAGCAACAAACAATCATGTTCCTCAATTTTTTACCCACCATCGAGGTTTGATCTTGTAACCTTCTTTCAAGAAAAGTCATAAAACTGCCATCTGAACACAAGGTGCTTGACTTTCTTGAATTTTTAAATTTTCTTTGGAATGAAAATAATGAAAATGAAAAGCTACAATGATCATTTTTTTTAATTATATCCAGTACAATTGTGTAAACATACATGCATTTGCATGACGATATAGGATGTAGAAGGCACCGATGTTGATTCATACATACCTTAAAATTTTTCAATATATTTAATTGTATTGGTGTGACATTATCATACTTTGACGTAGCTTTCTTTTTATTTCACTAGTATCGAAAAAAAAATACATTATATACTTCCTTAAACAATCAATTAGTAATGCTTATTAACTCATGCAATTTTTTTTACCCTTATTCAATACACGCTGATTTACGAGAAAATCGGTGACCACTACTCGAAGATGCGCTATGAAAAAAAAATAGAGAAGAATTGGGAAGGAAGCAGTGATACCCTTGGGTATACGACAGATGCATGAGGTGTGATTCAATTCGTACTAAAATAGCATATGAAGAAGTATAGTATAGTATAGGAGCAATACAAGTGATAGTATAGGGTGGTCATGTGACTTACTTGCTACCCTTGAAAAGGGCAGCTAACTGTTCCTCATTTTTTTTTTTTTTTTTGGAAAGGGATAACTATATATAAAAGAAAATTTTAAAGTGTTTATCGGTATTGATACTGAATGCATCAAATATCGGGAAGTGTTTGGCAAATATTTGATAGTTGACTCAGTTAGTGAGTTTGACTAGTTGATAGCATTAGCTGATTGTAGAAAAAAATTGATAAAATAGTTGTTAGCTGATATCTGATTAAATTATAATTTATTTTTTAAAAAAACTAATCAAAAAAAAGCTGTTTGGAGCATTTTTTTAATTTTAGCATTTTAAAACAATAAGTTGTTGGCTGGACACCATAACATTTTATTTGGGTGGGGTTAATTTCAGATATTTTTAAGAAAATTTATTATAATTGGAAAAATTCATTTAATTAGGAAATAAATGCAATTTATGACAACAATTGTGAATTGTATGAGATGGTGGCAGGGGAAAATCCATTTAATTATGAAATAAATGTAATTTAAGACAACAATGGTCAATTGTGTGAAGTTGGAATTTACGTATTTTGCTGCACAGCTCAGTGCCGCCCAAGCCGGCTTCATCATCTTTTACAACATTTCATCCGCCAATATATAATTAGTTTTTTTTTTTAACGCCAAAGAACTAATTTTTGCGATCATAATATGAGAGTTTTACCTTCTTGTAAGCTTAAAACAGTGGTCTTTCCACCTAAGAGACGTTGAGTTACTGTGATTTAACTTCTCCATAATTTATGTAGATCGAGTCGACGAGTTGTGGGATCTCGAGACGAGAGAATTTTACCTTTTGCAACCAATTTTTTTTTTTTTTTTTTTGAAAGAAAGATCATACTTGTATCTTTTTATTTTAAGTCATAGATTTTGAAATTAATTGAGTTGGTTAATATTTAAGCACACTAATCTTTAGTTAGGCATTCAATTGCAATATGGAGAATTCATTAGAAAAGTTTAAAATATTGCACAATAATATAATTTACTTAATATATGCTCTCAAATAGTAGCGATAAGTTTCCTTGACCAAAAAATTTGTCATTTAATTATGTAATTAAGTAAATGTGTTAATCAATTATATTACAATCATATATTTTGATCCCCTCCCCAAAAAAGTTATACAATTCAAGGACAACTACCAACAGCTAAAAGTTAAGGGGTGTGGGGGTTGGGAGAAATTAGGCAAATTATAGGATTCCTTCAAATCTTCAATGAGTAATGTTTTTTTTTTTTTTTTTTTTTTTTTTTTGTGTTGCTCCGTGGTCGGATGAAAAGAGAAAATAAAAGAGAAGAAACAATTGTCACTCTTGACAACCATGGTTATCTCTCATTAGCGAGTAAAAAGTCAAAAATTAAGACTTTTAGTATTTTTTTTTAGTAACGAAGTAAATTTGCGGTCACTACGAGTCGAACTAAAAAGGTGAATAAATCGCTCTTGCTGGAGTTGCTTCCACCCATAGTATAATTTTGAAACAAATAAAAGAGGGAGGGAGGGAGAGAGAGGGGGGGGGGGGGATGGGGAGGAGTAATATATGATGAGAAAAAATAAATTAGATAAAATCAACAAATTAATATCGATTTGATCAATATTGTGTCTACAAAGTTTGACTCTTACTCATAACAAAATTTGACTTAAAGTTCTTATAATGAAATTTCCGACCTTATAGTTGTATTAACATTCCATTACTCGGGAAAAAAAAAAAAAAAAAAAAAAAAACTAACATAATGAAACTTATAATCTTATAGTTGTATTAACCGTGTATTTACCAATTCCTATTGCTAGGTTGATTTGTTATTTTAATTGAAGTATGTAGAAGAAAGAGATTGACAAGTTGGGAGCAATAGGGTTGATTGATTTGATGCCAATGGGCATGCAAAAGCAAAATGGTTTCATTTTTGAAGAATAAAAGAGGCCACATGATCTTTAACGTACCTGTACTGCTACAACAGTCCAAAGACAAAACTAGTAGCCTGCAATGACTTGGTTAAGTTAGATTATACTAAACTAAGATCCTTTCATTACCACAAAAAATCTCAAGTCTTTTGACATTTTGTGGCATGACTTAGTCTTATCCGCATCATTAATTATATCGCAACAAAATCATTTTATTTTTGTTGGCTTTTTAAATTTGTTTTGGTGATGAAGAGGTCAATCATATATTCAGTACACCCTTAAATGCAAAAATAATTTATTATGCACTCATTATGTTATATAATTAACAACCAAGAATCTTGTATTCCAATGACACCAAATTGCTCCTTTATAAGGGAGATTGTGGGATCGAACCTTAGTGGAGATGATATTGGCTCTCTGTGCTCTCCATTGTAATAGAGTCAATAGTATTCAGTTTTCATCTAACACGCCCAGATCTGTCATTTTTATACTATTATGGATGCTCTAAGGAAAAGAAAAAATGTGACACATAGGTAGAGAGATTTGTACTTAAACATGTCCATGAATATGATTGACCACATAAATTTAACCCAAAAAAGAAAATCATAAATTGGTGTATGAAGTGATTTTTTTTCATTGACACACCATGTAATATGTAATATGACTCTTTAAAACATTATGTCCCCACAATTTGATGTAATGGTCAATCATGGTAGTCAAATGCACAGCTGTTATTGCCTTGGTTCACTGTCACAGGTTAGAATTGTTTGTCTGGAAATTTGCCATCTGCCAAGATGGTGATGATGTATGAAGCAAATCATGAGTTAACCAGGATTCCAGGGAATTGCTAGATAGAAGAAAGAAAGAAAGAAACTAGTTATCTGGTATTTTCAAAACATTACATAGCTTGCTTCCTTAAACTAGGAATTGCAATGGTTTCAAGTTCTTTAGTCTAGATCAAATCTGATGCTGGGTACTTGAGAATTCAGTAAAAAAAGAAAATTTAGCTCCTAAGAAATGGTTTCAAGAACACTACACCATACAAATGGGGGCATAAAGTTAATAGAGTCTGGATAGATGGATGGCATCATAAAACGTCGTGGAACATGTAGGGAATCGAGAAAAAGTCACAAAATACAACTCAGTACTCGAGCGAACCTAGAGATGGAAATCCAGACAAGTGGTCTCGTCCATCAGCGCCACTGCCATTCATCCTTTCCATTGTGTTTCGGCTAAGGGATTTCGCTTCTTGCTTCCCCAGCTTCTGCACATCCTCGGGAGAAAGGATTTTGATATACCAGACATTGTTCACAAATGCCCTGAAAATTATATCATTTATATTACCATTCCCAAGGGTTTACTAAATGCTGTAATTAAGCGCTTAATAACTACTTACTCCCAAGGGTCGTCTCCAAGAAGAAGTACATCATTCTCCCTGTCAACAAATACAAGCTGCCAGCCTGATCTTTGCGGGTCCTCAAGTAACCCTTCAATCCCGAACATCTGAGCCAGTTCCTGTCGTAACTCATGATAGCTGCTTATTCGGGTGATATCCAATGACCTCCCAACATATCCTGATTTATAAACCTAAATAAACAAATAGCATTAGCTATTCAGGGGATATCTAATTAAGATGTCCGATTCATGATTATAAGATCAGCACCTTGATAAATGTACGAGGGGTTGATGGGTCAACTTGTCCCGCACTGGACACCAACTCAGAAGAGTCTTGCACATAACCATATGGAGAGTTCTGAAATCCAGAAGCCCCTGATGGCAAAGAGGACACATCTGCAACAACTGAAGTAGTAACACTTGATAATGTAGTAGGAAGGAGAAGTCCAGGAGAGTCTATACTAGCACCGAAAAAGGATTGATTTTGAGCATCTAAAGCACAAGTCTCCTGCTGACTAGATGCCTCTTTCCCAGGATATGATGGGGTTGACACTGAGTTGGAACAAGTGCTGATATGTGAGTTAGCGAATTTTGGCAACCAGGACTGTTGGACTTGGGGTTGGTGCTCATTGAGTGCAGACTGACCAGTTCTTTTGAAATTTAACAGATTACTACTCCCTTCAGGACAGAGGGAACCCAGCATGGACTGCATGCTTGAAGGGGAAACTGGTGGCGCAAAATTTGTTTTTGAAAATGATGGAGAAGGAATATTTGACAGTGGCCTTTGCTGAAGCTGGTCATGTGAGACAGGGAAAGCTTCCTGGTAAGCATGTTGCTGGGTCGGTTCCTCGGTCTGACCACTGGTTTGCTGTTGGGGATGCCTTTGCAGGCTATCCGATAGCATTTGGGTTTGTGCAGGTAGCATGTGTGAAGACATTGGTTGCTGGATTACTTGCTGCTGCTGCTGTAACAAGGGATTATGGCTACCTGAAGCTTGAAGATATTGGGCAGGCTGTTGAAACTGCATTAATTGCTGTTTGAACAGATCCGCATTTCCAAAATTTTGCAAGCCTGCCGCCAGCATAGCTTGGTACTGCTGATTATAATCAGTCCGGAGCATTGCTGGATCAACTCTCTGTTGCATCCAGGGAAGCATACCAAAAGACTGAAGATTCACGGATTGGGGCCCTCCTTGCTCGCCAATTTCTCCTCTTAGCCATGTCATTCCATTAATAACTTCATTATTGCTGTCTGCAACAAGATCAAAAGGAAATGATTACCAAAAATAAATGACATTTCTGCAGCTGAAACTGACCTTTGACTTAAATTAAGATATGTACTTTTCCATAGGGGGCAGGAAAAAGGGGGAGGTGGAATCTTGTTATAAAACTCGGATTTTTTGCATCCCACCACAGATTGTTTTTCTTTCTTCATCCTCCTTTTAGGGACATGGGTATTCACACTACGAGGAGTTTATTAATAAGGTAGAAATTATGATCCTGCAGTGCTTCATCTCAGTGGGTAAACGGTTGTGAGCAAACTTTTAGTTTTATATTGTACCTTGAAAAGACGAGGGTCCTGGATACCAAGGCCTTTTTAGCCTAAGGGGAAATAAGGATGAGTACATGGGAAAAGTAGTCAAAGGCTCAATCTCCCATAATGATACCCTTGGTTGTCTTTCACCTGCAGTTGATTCATCCCAACCGACCTACATGTTATCAAAACAATTAAGAAGTCAGCATGCAATGAGGAGTGCCATTGTTGAATCATTCTCCAATGGAAGGAGAGACAGTCCAACACTTGGAATTTGAGTAAAAGTCGGTGACTAAACCAAGGACCAAAACAAACATCATATCAATGATGGGTGGAGAAGAAACACAGAAGTCATAACTTTTCAAAGGCATACTATGGATGCCAATAGAAAGTACCTTGACAGACCGCCAGTGAGAGTTTGGCCAGCGAACAGGATCCAAGTCACCAATGCCAGTAATTGTTCCCATGTATCTGGACAATGCAAGCATGCACTTATCACGGGAACTTTCAATGGTTAATGCAGTAGCAAAATATTAATTTATAGATATGACAACCATAGAATGCCATTATCTATAGCATTTAGGTGAAGCATTTTATGACAGAGTAAATCCATTACGTCTGCCTTCAAAAACAAGCATCAAGCCTGATATTGAACATTTTATTCTGTGTCAAGACTCAAGAGTGTTATGCATTGTGTCCCACTGCTTAATCATGTTGTAGACAAGTATTTGAAAAAATTAGGCTTGCCTAAATGTATGGAAATGTTACTGCTTATGATAACTAAAAGCACAAATATTAAAGTTAGAATGTGATAGATGAGATAGACATCAGAGACTTGCAACCATACAGGACAAATGTCTCATTTCCATATTTTACAGGGTATGTAACTCTATAGCAGATTCATATGTGCATCAAGCAATGGCTACAGTAGCAGTTTTTGCATGCATAATCACAAATAATGATATAGCAAACAAACAAGAGAAGGAAAATAAAACAAATCCTGAAGATCAATATAGTGACTTGGGGAGAAAACAGGATTAAGGGAAAAAAAAAAAAAAAAAAAAAAAAAAAGACCCTATAAATACCTCCGAACACTTGATTCTTCTGTTTCAAATAGCATCCTAAAACGCATTCCAACAGAGATACGGGTGTGGTATACAGCTTTAATGTATTTTGAAAGAGCTATGACAAACTCGGATGGGCTAGCCCTGACAAGACAAGGGAGTAATAGAAACAGTGAAGAATTGCTCAGATATGAAATATATTAGTAACATAAAGTAGATTTTGCTACCGTGGGTTGTAAAACACAGTGAAACAGCTATTGGTAGCTGCAGCATGAGCAGCAGCAGCTAAGAGTCCAATGTGCATACTGTCACTTGACAGAACTGATGATGGCATTACCGTTTGTGGTCTAGTAGCACGACGAATTCCCAGCCACAGCTGATTTTTCTCATTCCTGAAACAGAATCATTGTGATACCATGATCAGCAGATCCAAAGTTCAGATAAAATACGCAACTTGGAGAATCAGTACAAGATGATGACAAAGCCAAAGAGTACCAGATGAAAAGAACAGAATCTCCAGCAACAAGTCTTTTGGCACTGACAAACACACTCCAGCCAGTAGTAAGAAGATGCCGCTTGGGCTGCCCTGCATTTGCAATAAAGTGAAAAACAATCAATGATAGCAAGGGGGGTCAGTGTTTTATTTTATTCTTTGAGATAGAAGCAAATGATAAACCATTATTTAGTCTAGCATAGAGCTACAGAGACTTAGCCATGATTAATTTAAATCCAACTTTATCAGAACACCAAACCAAGGCTGAAAACAATAGAACAATAGTGACATGAAAGGAGAAATAATAAGCAAGAAAAACAATTACAAACATTTGTTTCCTATTTCCTTTTTTAGAGAAAAAGGTTACAGAACACACTGAAATTTTAATCTTTTGATTCTATGGCTTTACCAATATCTCTTTAATTCTCCAATTGAGAGTAAGATGCTTGATTCTATAGGACCACTTCTGACAGAAGAAGCCCTATAAGAAATAACTTGAATAATTGACATAGAATACATGCGAATATATCTTTAAGGGCACTTTTCTTGGCCCATCCATAATCAGTTCTGCTCACAGTTAAGTTGTTCGCCTTGAGGCACAGAAGTACAAGTTTACAAGATTGGTTTTCCCACCTTTACTTAAATTATTACAGTTATTTGATTATTCCTGTGAGACACAAAGAGATGTAATTAACCTTACTAAATACTGTATAGTGTTTTGATCAAAGGTGAGGTGAGGCAAAATGCAAGTCAAGTACTTAAATGTACCACCCGAATGGTGTACCAAAGCACGAAAGCTTTGGAATTTCTTTGATCAGTCAAACAGTATTAATTGATGACTCTCACTAATAACCCCCATACACACGCAGACAAGTTTAGCAACCTCAAAAGGCTACTACATTATTAGTACAATACATGTCAATAGTTGGACCACTCTGCCCAAAATAAAATTTTAATTCATAATTAACCTCGGAAAATATGTCTGAACTTCCATTCAACATCATGTAGATCCCTTGCAATGAGTTCTTGGGCAGGTGGTGTCAGTGAGAAATCCTGAAGGAACCGATATGAAAATAAGAATGCCATCACAATATATGATGATAATTCAACCAGAACAACCTAAAGCACAAGAAAAGTTATTACCAGAGGAGGGAAAACTTTCTCTGCAGCTCGACGAGGAACAGAGAAGCCACCATGAGTGCTAGTATCACTTGCTGTAAGTGTCTTGCAAAAATAATTAGTGGGCTGCTTGCTAGGAATTCCCAACTCAACAGGAAGATATGTATCTTTTTGTTCCTCCTGAGGGCACAAAAAGAAAAAAAAGAATTCAGCACCCAATTTATAGAACTAAAGGTTGCTTTAACAGTGCAATCTATGAATGAGTACCAGAGTGAGAGGTTGCAATGTCATTTGAGCATATACTTCATCAGTTTCAACATCTGCCTGAAATTCCACATATTAACATTTACAATAACCACCAGTCAAGTAATCCAAAACAAAAACGAAAAAAGACGGTTGCTAAAACATACATGCATTGTGACATTGTGGAGCTGGCAGATCAACTGTGCTGGCAAGTTAGGATAATTGGGTATCTGGCCATCAACTTCTTTATTAGTTGTCGCCGCAACCTGGAACCCAATTCCAACAGGGGACCATCACTTATGCAATCCAATCCAATCCATTCACTCATTCTATCACACACTCTCATTATCATGAATCACCTAAACACATACATATACATACATTTCTGCATGTAAAATAAAGGTATTGGTGGAAGGAAAAAGACAGACCTGTTCACTATGACCCTGAGGAAAGTAAACCACCCGACTCCCCACTGAGGGAAGGCACACCAGAGGACCAGCACATGCATGCCATAGCTCTGAATTCAAACACTTGTTCTCTCCTTTCACAATCCAAGAACAACAGAGATCCAATCAGCAGAATAATTTAGTCCATTAACAAGCTTGTTGAAGTAATAATAATAATAATAAAATAAAGAATCATAATGACCAGAAAATGAAAAGGATGAAGAGAAAGAGAGTGATAAGGATGTATAAGAAAAGCCTAAGCAGAAAAGAAAAAGGAGAATTTGGAGAGAAAAAGAGCAGTAGTAGTAGTAGTAGTAGGAGTAGATAGTAGATAGATACCTTCATGAGGCTGCTGACCAATTCCTGATGTTGAAAGCTTCATATTTTTTCCTCCACCTCCAGGCTCCACCCCCCCTATTATATAATATGTTGTATAATTACCTTAAAAATTATAATTATCCAGTCAGTTATAGCGCATAAGATCCCGGCTTCCAACCCTCAACAACACCATTATCTCATCAAACCCTAAACTCTGAACCAGATTCAACACCCTGAACCTCGCGCCAACGCCCCTGCTGAACCCCATCCTCAATTCAAACCCGAATCTGGAGTGCATTAAGCCGGAAAGCGAAGCAGAGGAGCTCAATTCCACCAAAGATCAACCCAATTAACTCAACTCTCCTTCTCCAAAACCTCCATGAAAGCAGGAGAAGAGCAAATCCCTTGGCTTTTCTTTTTTTCCTTGAATGAGTGAGCACAGTACAGTAAGCTAAGCCAAGAAGGCTCCCAGTAGTCCCGAGCTGAAACTCAGAGCTTTTCGTGTGCTATCGCTGTCTGACTGACGACGCTTTTGAAGAGAGAGAGAGAGAGAGTTTGGGCGCTCCCCTCTTTTTATAGCCCACCCGACCAAGCTCGACCTGGTAGCAGTAGAGAGAGAAAGTGCGATGACCGATGAAAGAGAAAGCAGTATAGAGTGTAGAGTGTAGTATAGTAATGGCTCATTCTTTCTTCGCTTTATTCTTCCCTTTCTTAGTCCGAGCTCTATCGGAGAAGGGGGTTTGGGGAAACCCCAATCCCAGCCGTCCACACCACCGTACGGGCTCATCACCACCGTCCCTTCACCTCTGAGTTGACAGGAGACATGTGCCACCATCCTCCAGTGATCGTTGTCAGAGTACGGACCTTCAAATATATTATTATTATTATTATTATTATTGCATAAATAAATACATTTTTTTAATAATTATTATTCAAACTTTAATTCATTCTCATAGCACCACATAACCTCTTATTAAATACTCCGTATTTATCCAAACTCAAATATTACGATTCCATTTTATGGTGTTGGTTTCTTGACCACTCTAGGCCGTCAACCGATGGGTCGACACTACTGAAAAAGTATTTAAAATTGTGGAAGTGTCGTCAATCGATGGGTCGATACTACTGAAAAAAGTATTTAAAATTGTAGAAAAATGTATTTTGCTCTCAAATGCTCGTGTATATATTTAAAATGTTCAATTTTTTTATAAAGCCTTATCAAACATTTTATATACGCTAGGAAGATTGAAACGTTTAGCCTATCATTAATGTCATAAATGAAGCTATAAATGCTTTAAATGACATTATTCATGATAAGTTATGCCAGCTTTCTGTTTCCTTCGCGAGGAACTGTCTCCCACAACAGCCGATCTCATCATTGTTATTAACTCCACATTGATTGTCTCATTACTGCTCTCTCGCCGAGTACTCAGATTACTCTCCCTATTATCGAGCAAATACCAATTTTGGTCCCACGAGTGTTAGGAAAATGACAGTTTTGGTCCACATATTTAATTTCTACCAATTTCATCCACGACTATTGTTTTTGTACCAGTTTTTATCGCGATTATTACTTTAGTGCCAAAATTCATCACGCTGGTCACCCCTTCGTTTAAGGCATGCCGAAATATGAAATTATTAAGGGTATTTTTGTCATTTTCAAATTAAGATCCCAATATGAGCATGAATAAAGGGACTTAAGTCCTAAGATCAATCCCAATTCGCGGTTCTCCTCCTCAAATTAAGGTAGAATGAGGATGAGAACTGCGAATTGAGATCGACCTTATGGCTTAATTCCATTTATCCATGCTCAAATTGGAACCTTAAGTTGAAAATGACGAAAATAAGTATAAAAAATTTTAGATTTCAACATGCCCTAAACGGAGGGATGACCGTCGTGATGAATTTTGGCACTAAAATAATAATCGTGGATGAAAATTGATACTAAAATAATAGTCGTGGATGAAAATTGGTATAAATTAAACATGTTGATCAAAACTGTCATTTTGCTAATACACGTGGGACCAAAATTGGTATTTGCTCTCCAATTATCCCTTCTAGCTTACTCCTCCCATCACTCAGTCGGTCCTCCTTAAGCCTTGCAAAGCTGATTAACACATCGGTTATGCTCTTCTATCCAGCTAACCTCTCCTATCGTTCTGCCATTCTATCCGACCGACCTCTCAAACCGTTTTTCCATTCTATCCGACCGACCTTTCAAACCGTTCTGCCCTTTTATCCGACCGACCTCTCCAACCGTTCTGCCATTTTATCCGACCGACCTCTCCAGTTGTTCTGTCCTTCTATCAAACTGACCTCTCCAGTCGTTCTACTTGCTCTGACTGCTTGACTGACTGGGTCACTCAACCCCTTCAGGTAGACCAACTAACACTCTCATCCGGCACCCGTAACATGTGCCTCTTACTTCCAGATGAGTGGTGATATGGATGGTCCGACTCCTTCACTCGTGCCTTCTCCTGTCCCTTTGACTGTCTTGGTTGTGTTCCCTTTACTATACTCCAATCAGTTCCCTCATCCAACATCTTCATTGTGCCGCCCGCCAACTTCAACCTTCCGAGCTCGGGTCCGTATTCCATCGGATGAGTTATTGGATAATTCAACAAGTCTAATAACCATAATAGTATCAGCTCAAGGTCTGGTGAGTTGGGAGGTTCATCGAAAAGTGTCATCACATAATTTTTTAAAACAAAACAAAAAAAAAAAAAAAACAATTTTTTGTCTACTTAATTATATCATTCACTTTACTCTTTTTTTTTTTTACTCTTAATAATTTTGTATATTGATTTTTTTTTAGTACCACTGACTCTTGTTACAATGCAATATCTGTTCATAACTACTTTCTCAACCTATTGAAGCACAAAGAGTCAATGTTGCCTCCACTGAGCCTCGAACGCACCACCTCCCATATGGGAAAGCAACTTGGTTGTATATTGATTAATTATTCATAAATTCACACAACTATTATTACGTGCATAGTAATGGTTGAACATAGGGATGGCAATTTCAATCCGACCCGTGGATATCCACCCCGCATGGATCGGGGTTTTTTGGGTGATGGTGGGTGGTGGGTCGGGGTGGGTCTTAAAAAAGCAAACCTGCGGTGGGTCGGGTTGGATTCGGGTTCTATGTACAAGACCCGCCTAGAACCCCACCCGACCCACCATGTGTGTGTGTATATATATATATAATAGTAAAATAAGTACTAGTATGTAGTTATTTATAATAGTTTATATAACTTCGTGTATCTTTTTAATATTTTTTATATCAAAACTACTAAGTTTATTTTTAAAAATTAACAATTTTGTTATTATATTTAAATATTTCCATTATTTATGTTTTAGTATCACTAATGGATTTTGTTTTTTTATTATGTGTAAATAATTTAAATATTATTTTTTAAAAAACATAATAAGATGATAAGTGGTGGGTACCCATAGTGGGCATCCGCATCCGGTGGGGGTGGGTTGTGAAAAAGTCCACTCGATGCGGGTTGGAGGTGGTGGTGGGTGGAGAAAATATAAGGTGGGTCGGGTGATGGATGTAGCCCTCCCCGACCCATTGTCATCCCTAGTTGAACACTCATCTGTTAAAGTGGTGTTTGGCTCAAGTTATCACATATAACTTTAAAGACGTCGTTGATATGGTAATATAAGTTTTCCTTGTTTGTTCCTAAGATTATTGTGATTTTATTTACTTTTGAAAATTTTTATGAAAATCACATTCCTCACATTTTTAAGCTAGGTAAAATTTTCGAAAATGTTACCTTACTTAAAAATACATGTTCAACCAAACACTTTTTTTTTTTTTTTTTTAATTAGTAGGTTGAGTGAGCGTGAAGGAGTGAAATTTTGCATAGGCAGAACGCAGAAGGGTTGATGTGTAGCTTTTCGGCCATACTTGGGACTGTACCTTTTTGCTGTAAAATAATTGCTGTGAATAATTGTGGGGAATTTGGATGAGGATAGGGGGGTGCATGGGTGAAATTAAATAATGGTAATAAAAGGAATTTAAAATGTGGACATTTGTGGGTTTTGGGCATGGTGGAATGGTCCCTTCCCCTACCTAGCTCTACCCTCACTAGTAACAAGGGGACCATTTTTTTCTCCTCATTTTAGCATTATTATGAAAATTTTATTGGTTGGTTCTACTTCACTGCTTCCTTCTTAAATTGGAAAGAATAAAGATATATTTTATTTTGATTAGGGAAAAAGGCTACTATTCAAACTACGAATTCAACTTTAACGATAATTCATCATTTTATGTAAGATCTATCAACATCGTTTTCTTAAAGGATTCCTACAAAATTATCGAAATATAGACAACAACAATCATCCCTCTTCTCCATAGCAACAATGCCTTATCTAGAAAATCTATTACCTTATTTTATTCTCTCAACACATGTTGCACTTGGACTTCCCTATGCCGATTTAGTTCCTTACAGCAAGTCTCAACAAGATTTAGGAAAAGTATATTGATCATATTAAATTATTGAAAAAGAAATTAAAGAAAATGTGATTTCTTTCAAAATTATCTCCTTTTTTTTTTTTTAATATGGTGGGATAGGAGGTACTAATATCTTTCCCAATTATTATTAATACTAGTATTCATATGTGCATTGCACAAAAATAAGTGTCTAATATTAATGTTTAATATTAGAATCATAATTATATTAAAATAATTCAAAAATTAATAAATAAAAAATAACACAAACCACATAATTTATACTATTTTAAAATGATTAATTATTAACTTTAATTTTATGTTTATATATATATATATATATATATATATATATATATATATATATATATATATATATATATATTATATAATGAAGATATGTTTGTCTAAGTAAATATGTGAATGATACTTCATTTAATATAATATTTAATTAAGTAAATTATTTTGATAAGCTATATATTAAGGTAAATACAATTAGGTAAATTCATTAAGTATTTAATACTTAACTTACGTAGAATTTAACCTTGTAAAAGTATTTTTTATTTTTTGCATGAAAAAACTGAAGGATAATAATTTTAATATGATATACAATTTCACAAATACAAAACATATAAACATAATTCAGTAATATAACTTGCATTGGCTCTTAAAAGTTATGTCGTAATTTATAATGTTGCATTTTTTTTTATAAAGTTGTACATTGTACTTTACTAAAAAATACACAAGGGAGAGTACAACTTGTAAAACACATGACATTGTAACCCATTATACACTAATGTTTTCCTATTTTCGATGCCCAATTTATATATGCTATTTGTTATATACATCAAAGTTGGAACTTTTTGTGATAGTTCGTTACTATCATGGTGTTATGAAGAAGATTTTCAATGATTGAAGAATAAAATTTGAAGTTCAATTTTGATTCAAGGTTGAGAATTTTTTAATTTTTTTTTTTTGTTCAAAGAAAAAAATAAAGAAAAGAAAAGGGATGAGAATATTTAAAATACAATTTATTAAGATTTGGTCTTGGTCGCTTTCAAAGATTGCTGAATAGTTAAAGCACATAAGTGGGAGAAAAAAATATAAGGAAAAAGAAAAAGAAAGGAAGAAAATAGTACACCACTTGTGTTCAACTTTATGACCTTAAATAATTAGATAGGATATGCTTTTGGCTACTCGTTAATTTTAAGGTATAATTTCTATACTCACTTTTTATATTTATTTTTTTAATTTTTAATCCCCTTTACTAGTAAAAATAAAAATAAAAAATCTTAAATAAT